CAGTCTCCTTCGCCTCCTTTTCGTCTCGTCTTCGTCGCTTCACCAAAAAAAAAAACGTCTTGGCATAAAAAGCTTAATATAACCATGACTAAGCAAATCCACTTTGCACGTGCTTTTTAAACTTGGCTTTTATTGGCGTTGCTTGGCCAATCAGAGAAAGCCGCGGGCGACGAGGCCGAAAAGGGAAACCAACGACCTTGGAAGACGACGAGCCGGCTTTCTTGCAGCTGCGGCGGCGACGAAAACCGCACAGAAAGACGATCGAAACGGCCGCCGTCGGGTTCTGCACCTTTTCACCATCCTCGCACCCGCCGATCCCCTGGAGCAGACGACGACGCCCTTGCACCTCGCGCTGCCGACGGAAGCAACCGTCAACGGTTTTCGTTCTCGAACAGTTTGACCCCTTCGACTCGCTGCCGCTGACTGGCGACGTTACGCTCGACTCCTCCGCCCCGGCCCTCTGCGTGTTTCACGGCTGTCATGTTGCGAGGAACAGCCGTTGTTTGAATGGCAGCCGCCGCGTATAATTCTTCGGATAGCCCAGGTACCGGGCACCATGCCTCTGCATTATGGCTGGCAGTCCCAGCAAGGGAAGTTCAGCGGCTCAAGACACCCATGTAACCCGTTGACCCTGGGGAAAGGAGGTAAGATACGCCCTCTATCTCGTTTCATCTCATGCCATACTGAGGTGGAGCGACACATACGCGTTCCTCCAGAGCTGGATTGCATGAAGAGAAAGAAAGAAGAACACATCAGTACTAATTTGGGGCTGTCTCTCTTTGACAAAAAAATAAACTACTCTAGGCACTCTCGTCTTCAATGATACCTTTTCCGTCGTTTTGAGTCAAGATGCCGTTTTTGAGCCGTCCTGTACTACCGTCATCGAACCAGAAACATATGACCCGTCAACGATCGTGGATGTCCGTGAACACTTCTACGCCTCGACGTCCCCGCAGATGTATGCTATTGCAACCGCAACAGTGCTAGCCTACGTCCTCTCCATCATTCTTTTCATCACTCCCCGTACTTTTTTCATAGGAGGTCGTGGTGGAGGCTTCCTCGGTCGACATGGCATGATCAGTGGGTCATATGGCAGCAGTTCAGTCATTGGCGTGGGCGGGAGGCCATGGCTGCAGAAAATAGCAGCATTGACAGTTGCGATATCACTTACGATTGCCACCGCGGACTCGTTTGCGGTTGCGAAAAAACAGTACGAAATGGGATACATGGACTCCACTGCTCTCACGAACGAGGTTGTCAATGGTCTCGAATTACGCATTATACGTGTCATATCTAGTACGTTTCTCTGGCTTGCGCAGGTCCAGACTCTGATCCGCCTGTTCCCACGGCACAAAGAAAAAGTCGTTATCAAATGGGTAGGATTTGCACTCATCGTGCTCGACACCATTTTTAGCATCCTAAACAACTTCGTACACCCGGGGACCACGATTGTCCATCCTGGAAAACTCCTAGATGCGGTTCCCGCCCTCACCACCTATGCGAACTAGTCGCTAAGCATGGTTTAT